CTGGGATAGGGAAATAAGCAAGGACGAAGTCTCCCGGCTTGAATTTTCTTACTTTGCTGGTCTGGTCGTAATGAGTCTTCATTCTCACCTGGGCTTTCAATAGATTATCATGAGCAAAGCGGTGGACTCTCTCTAGAATGTGTTGAAGGTTTTGAAGAAACTGGGGCACATTCTGATGCTCACTGAAGGTGGCATCTCTGAGAGAGTCTTTGAAAGCCTTAAGGGGAGTACGGCACTTACGGCCGTAGAGCATCTCATAAGGAGATACTCCTAGGGACTCATTGGGGAGACTTCTGAAAATACACATTATTAGGTCAATCTGCTTAACCCAATCCTTTGAGGTTTCACTACAAAACTTTTTCAAGAGTGCTTTGATGGTCTGATGACTACGTTCAAGAGAACCCTGTGAAGCAGGATGATAGGGGCTGGACAATACCTGTTTGATGTTGAACTCCTCCAGTGTCCTTTTGAAGAGATCACTGGTGAAGTTGGTGCCACAGTCACTTTGAATCTCCCTGGGAAATCCGTATTGAGTGAAGATCTTCAATAGATGTTTGATAACTGTAGCAGCCGTGATGTTCTTCACTGGAACTGCTATGGGAAATCTGGTGGTAGGACACAGGATGGTTAGGATGTAGGCGTTACCTGAACTGGTCCGAGGTAAAGGACCAACACAGTCTATTATGAGTCTGTGGAAAGGTTCCGCAGGCACCTGTATGGGAATCAGTGGTGCTCTGGGAATGGAGACGTTCGGTTTGCCTGCCATCTGACATGTATGACACTGTTTTACGTACTGTTTGACGTTATTTACCATACCTGGCCAGTAGTAGTCTTGACGAATTCCATGGTAAGTCTTGTTGAAGCCGTAGTGGGAGAATGCTCCGTGGGCCAGGTGTAGAATAGTGGGCCGCAGGCTGGTGGGAATCACAAGTTGTTCGATGTTGGCCCAATCGTCCTCCTCCTTCAGTTTACTGGGTCTATATCTGCGGTAAAGCAAGTCGTTCTCTAGGAAGAACCCAGGAATACTGTCGGGTTGAGTCTCAGCCTGGAAAAACAATGGTGTTAAAGTAAGATCTTCCCTCTGCAACTTACGGAACTCCAACTTGGTCAGATGCGGGGGTAGTTTCTGAGGGTCTTGAGGGACAGCGGTAGCAGTAGAGTCAGCTGGCTGTGGACGTGCGGCTTGTGCACGGGTGGTCACGAGAACCGGAGGAGAAACTTCATCACTCTCTTGAACCTCTGCTGGAACATACTCGAGAATAGGATTTATTGGCACAGAGTTACACACCTGGGGTTTGTCCATGACGATCAGGTTGGTCGGTTGCAGGTCTTCTGCCAAGTCGTTGCCTAGGAGAAGTTGCACTCCAGGCATGGGAAAAGGCTTTTCCCTGACGGCGACTTGGACTTCCCCGTTCACGTAGGGACAATTCAGGTGGACTCTGGCGAGAGGGTATGGAGTGGTAGCAGTGAGGTCAGTGATGAAGACTGTTTCCCCGGTGTAGACTATGTTGGGCACAGCCGACTTCAAGATGATCGATTGTAGAGCCGCTGTGTCCCTCAAGATCTTCAATTTGAAACGTCCCTCCGGATTTGAACCGTTGGCAGAGACAGTTCCAGTATACAGGTGGTTACTGAAAAGAGAAAGATCATTAACATCAACACCAACATTCATCACAGGCTTACCGGACTTAGGAGGAGTTGGTTTGGGTCGTTGTTGGTCAGTGGTTCCTTGTATTGAGACTTACCACATTTGTCTATGGTATGTCCATAGAGTCTACAATACTTGCAGTACAGTTGTGAACCAGCTTGATCGGGGCTCACCTTCTCGTAACTGTACCACGACTTCTTACTGGAGGATGGTTCAGGTGTCAGCCGGTGGATGAGGCTGTAAGTGTCAGCCGACTTAGCACACTTCAGGTAGTCGGTTTCTTCTTTATCTGCTAAGTAGAGGCGGACAGGAGGCGGCACACGTCTCAAGAATTCTTCAACAAGCATCAGGTTCACGAGTTCTGTAAAAGTAGAGACATGTGCTGCTTCCAGCCATTTCATGAAATACCTCCGTTTCGTGTTAGCAAACTCGAGGAAGGTAGTGGTACTTGCCTTCAGGTGGTCACGGAATTTCCTTCTATAACTTTCGGTGGAAAGTAGGTAGGCGTCTAACACTGCTTGTTTCAGAGTGTAGTAGTCATTCTCAGACGCCAAAGTACTGAGTGTGACTGCAGCTCTACCTGTAAGATGGACTCTGAGAAGTGTGGCCCATTGGTTGACAGGCCAACTGAGTTTATTAGCAAGGGTTTCAAAGGTGGTGAAAAAAACATCAACTTCTGCTTCTACAAAGGATGGCATTAACTTACTTGCATGTGATATATTAAAACTGACGGGAAGATTGGCAGTAGCTTGCTGGCGTTGGGTGAAGTGTGAAGTTTCCAAGGAGATTTCGCGTTGACGACACTCTAGAGCCAGAGTCGCTTGTTGCTTGTCATGTTCGCGTTGTATTTCCAACTCGCGTTGTTTGGTTTCAAGCTGTACTCGTTCACGTTTACGGAGTAATGCGACCTCGCGTTCGTGTTCTTCCCTCCTCAAGCAGCTTCGCGTTCTTGTTCGTCTCTCCTCAAAGCAGCTTCGCGTTCTTGTTCTTCTCTTCGTATGGCAGCAGCTCGTTCTTGTTGTTCGAGGGCTTCCCTTTGCTGCTCACGTTCAATCTTGGCCAGCTCTAGTTTGAGTTTCAGCGTTGCCAAATCAGTTTTATCTGCAATATAGTAAGTTTCATGAGTTTCAGAGTCTATCTTACCTTGCTCTAAATAGTAATCCAGCAACAGGTTGTGTAGGTCATTTTTGTTGGCTTGGTAGGGAACTTCTAGTTGATACTCATGTGCAAGAGTTTGTAATTCAGTCCTCTTGGCACGACTTAAAGTCCCTATTTCACCTGCTGGATTTGCACGGAAAGTTTGGAGACGAAACATGGTGAAATTAGCAAATAAAGGTACACGAATGTTCAATAATGAAATGTCAGAAACAGGACAACGTGGCAACTGGTACCTATCCTGTGTGATCTTTAACAATTAACGTTAAGTGAAAGATATTAAATTAAATCAAGGGCGCAGGAAATCTTGTACCCGGTACTCATGTAAGAGAATAAGGGCAAGAAAATCCTACTAACAAATGAAACAAAGTTTCGAAAACAAATGAAACAGTTAAATGCTTCAAAAGTAAAATGGTAGTCCAAGGATGTAGGCATACCTTGCCAAGTCTCTAAAGGACATAAAGCAAGTTTTTCCCACTGAATTTAATATGATACTTACAGAATTAGCGAACTTTTGTGCTCTGAAAAAATAAGCTAATTCCCTACCGTTGTATGTATCATCATCTCTGACTGACGTGTAGGGGTGCGAGGTGTCAACTGGTGACGAGAACTGCTGCTGAGGTCCCAATTCAGCAACTAAAGTTCGAGCTAGAGGAACTATGGCCCTCTTTGTCCTCCTACAGTCAGATTGCAGAAGATTGGGTACTCTTGACCCGGGCAGACCACAGTACCAGGGTACCAATATGATGATCTGTCAGAATGAGAAATATTCAAGGGACATAGATGGTAAATACGAGTAATAACAAGGAGGGAGAGATGACCAATTAAGAGTATGACTGCGGCCTACAGTCACCACGTAATCCAAAGTTGTCTCACCTTCACTATATGTTACTCTCGTAATGCACAATACACCGCACCTTATAAAAAATGAAATTGAATGAAAAATAGTAAAGCATATATATATATATATATATATATATATATATATATATATATATATATATATATATATATATATATATATATATATATATATTAGTAGCAGTCTTTCTTGTAAACTTATGTTGTTGAATATGACCGAAAGGGTAAGATTAATGATTCTAACACGAATCTTCTCAATATTTCTTATGTGTTTCTTAACGGTCGAGGGTAGTCGAAAAATTAACCCTCCAAAGTTCATTTTCACGCTTTATTTAGTCTGACGCCTAGAAGCGTTTCGCAAGACACATTTTTAAAGACAATTTTGCATGCTCTGCTAATGCTTATATTCGCTTGGGGTGAGGAGAGTTATATATATATAAGTAAATATATATATATATATATATATATATATATATATATATATATATATATATATATATATATATATATATATATATATATATATATATATATATATATATATATATATATATATATATATATATATATATATAAACTAGATGGTGCACTTTGGTTGACCCGGTACCCAGGTCATGAGCAGCTTACCTAACTTACATGTAACACATCCTACAGTGTACCTCTTATTGGGTTTTTGAAGCGTCTATTTTACATGACAGGCGTCAACAGTTCTTGGGTTTACCAATAGGCAGACTTGAATCAATAGATTTTTCCTTTTTTTTAAATCAATGCAACATGTTTTATGGTACAGAACGAAATTGTTCTTATATTTATATATATTTTTTGCAAGTGCACTCGGTGGAAAAATTGCCACCGAATAGACTTGTTGATTATTAAGAAAGCAATTAGTATAGGCTTCTTGTTTCTTCCAGCAGGCAAAACATCCTTAAGTACTATTAAGTTTTCATTTCACCACTGGATGAACGTCTTCATCATTTGGCCAGATATACCTTATGGGAAATGGGTTGTATTTTCCCTCCTACAGTTGAAAGATCTTAAAGAAAGATCCTACAGAAGAAACGCATTGCGAAATAGTGGCTTTAGGCATTGTATGTACTAGCTCTATCTATATATCAATCCTTTAATGTAACATCACTTGAATGTATATACCTTACCTGAATAAACATCTGAATCTGAATCTGAATCTAACGCCAAGCCAATTTAAAACTACTCATTTGATTTATATTTGTTAGTCATTTAATAGACCAGTTCAGCATTTTCTCTTATCAATTTACAGTCTAGGACAGTTTCTGATCTAGTAATACATCTTGTCTTATGGTGGATGGAAATACAACAGTTCTGGCAATATTTTATTTACAAAATACTTAATAGTATTGTACAACTTAACAATATACAACAGACACAAGCCATACACGGCTTACGGAATACACGGTATAAAATATAATGCGAACAGGCATCTTGTGTTTGATAATTGTATACAAAATTGTGTATAGTCAGGGACGGTAAGACTTAATACTGAACGCTCTCTTGTCATGATCTTGTTGACAAGTTAAGTACAAAATAAGACAAGCCTGACTAGTAAGGAAGTCTGTATGGTATGTGGGGGGGGGGGGGTGTTGTGGGGACTGAACGTATATCGGGGGAATGAATTTTATTATATATCAGGGGAGAAAACAAGAAGATTAGAAGGCAGTATAGGATGAATACGTGTGAATCTGTGAATCACGAAGCCTTTAAAGACGTCTGAACCTTTTTTCTTTGTAAAACATAACGGAGAATATGTTGTCTGCAAAGAAAATGGACGGTGTCAGACATTCAGATAAAGAAAACATGGAGTTCATGCCTGTCTTAATAATTTTTTTTTAAATTATCCTTTTACAAGCCAAGACCGCGGAGAGTTCTCAGATCTAAGTCGCCATAGTAGTCTTCGCTGTTGGGGGCAAAGAGAGAGAGGAGACGAGCATTAGAATCTCAGATGAGAAAGTTAACTAGATTATACTGTCATTAGATTAGCAAATTATCATTTAATATTAAATTTGTTCAGTTATTGAAAAAAATCTGTCAGTGCACCGTTAGAGACTGGGCTCTATTCTAGTAATTATGAAGAGCAAGACTTAAAATTAATAAGAATGAAGATTATATTCATGCAAGTTGCATCTATACAAACGACCAGAGACAAAGATCTTAGAGAAGAATTGGAGTAATATATGGATTTTGAATGATCTAATGCCGTTAAGTACATGGAAAATTAGATGGCCGAGCTATTGGCCATAAAGAAAAAGTCCCGGTCGGGGATATTTTCAAAATTTGAGTCAAGGGCAAAGTCTCTGCAGCCGGCGTGGCTGACGGAAGATTGGTGAAGTAGGCCGCACCTGTTGTCACTTAGGCCTGGAGCGCGGCGTCTGTTTGCGCCTCAGCTGGGGCGGCCGGGGCGGCAGCAACTGGGCGACGAGGGCGGTGGACATTGGCGGCGCTACCTCCGTCCTGCAGGCCAAGGTTGCCCAGGAGGAGCTGACTCTTCCGGAGGCCGGCCAGGTCCAGATCGCCGTAGTAGTCGTCGCTAAGGAAGTCATAGTCGGGGGTTAGGCTGACGGCCTTATTAAAGGAGAGTGGTCCACCAGAGTGGCCAGGTAAATGCTCACATAGCAACCCTATTCCTTTCCTCTCCCTCAGGAAACAAGCGCTCATCCAGGTCTAAATCTATAACCAGTGTTGTACACAACATGGTTAAAGACTTCGTCAGAGCCTCATAGTGCCCGCAGGTGTAGGAGGGTCGGGGATGGAGGGGAGGGAAGTCACATGTGGTCATCAAGAAGGTCCACCAGAGAAGATTTTTGTGGGCAGAGTTTATAAGTGAATGGTCCCCATGCAGGAAGCGAGTGCTATGCTTCATGATGTATAAGGAACTGCTGCATGACAATTTAATATTAGACTCTGTTAATTGTCTGGCTGTAAATCACACAAAGTTAACTTCAGCTACATGCAAAAGGAACACTTGAAAGTAAGAAAACCGAGAAAAACATTGCTTTGTCAAAAACCATGACCTGATGACTTATGGTATGAATGAAATATAATAGTAGTTTGTTGAAAGATCAGTAGGACTCTTCTATACAAAATTTGAGTACTGTAGTAGCCAAAATGTTGGTTTTTAGTGAAAAGTGGTACTGTATCTGGATGATCCAAGCCCATGCAGTTACTCTGGTGGAAGTGACAGGGGACAGAGAGAAACGTTAAGACTGTAGAACCATCCAGAACCAGACACTTGTTACCGTCAGGTGGTGAACCTTTAGTAGAGAACGCTTCTATATTCCTACATATAGTATAGTATAAGGACAAACACAAACTTGTCAGACTGAAATGATTATTAACATGAAAAGGAATATTGCATGCGCATACACAAACACACGTATCAATACATGTGGATGATGAACTTACCATCCGGGAACATCCTCGGGGTCGGTACACTGGCCGAAGCCGTCCTGGTTACCGATCTGGAAGACTGTGCCGATGGGACAGCCATACTCGCGGGCGACGCCGTCGAGGCAGACGAAGTACTGTCGGCAGTCCTCAGGGTGAGGGTGGCGAGAGAAGCCACCAGTGGCTGTTAATTCTCCAGCAGCTGGGCACACGAAATCCTGCTGCATGGCAGCTGCAAGGGGAAGGGAGTAAATAAGAAAGGAGATGATGGAAATGATAACGTAAAGGCATCTGAATCTGTATACGATGAACAATTTAATATTTTGCGCAAAAGATAGCAGCTTTGCATCCAGATAAGGAGCTTATAATATATAATGATACTTTGATGAGTTGCACGGCTACGGAGCTACTGACACTGAGATATAAACAAAAACTTGAAGTTATGGTCACTTGTGCGTCAAGACTGGCACTCACCTCTCTGGGCCTTGCACTCGGGGATGTTGTCCATCCAGTTACATACGCGGGACTTTCTGTCGTAGGCGAGACCAGGAGTGCAGGCGTACCTGGAGGCCTCACCGTCCCAGCAGGACCAGAAGACAGCACAGTCATCAGGATCCGGGAAGATGCCGTAGAGGTTGGGGCAGTGAGGTGTGGAGATGGCGGGCTCTGTGACGGGTAGGAGCGACAAGTGAGTGGTTATAGTAACATTAAGAGGAACAGCCTTGATTATCCACTATTTCCAGATATTTCAATAATTATACCAATCACATTACAACAGTAACTTGTGTTTGAGTTTGTGTGCAAATTGTATAATTGGTGGGCACATCATGCATTGTAGAACCCCACCCAGGGAAAGATATCAGATAAGGTCATGCAGAGGACACATAAGTATATAAGTGACTGGGCATGAGGACGAGAGGCGTGACGTGTGGCTAGGCGCCGTCGTCCTACCCAGCTCTGGTCGATCAGTGCAGTCCACAGTAAAGAGGTAGTTGCAGTTCTCGCGGGTGTCGTTTCTGATCTCGAAGGCGAGGCCGTTTCCACAGAGACGCAGTTCCGGGACACCTTCCTCGCAGCTCCAGTAGGCGTCACACTGGGTGGCGTGGGGGTAAAATCCATTTTCTTTGGGACAATTGAAGTCCTCGTACGCGAAGTCCGACTCCTGTGCCAGTCCTGCGCATACCCACAACCCTCACCAGCATTAGTAACAGTTGGTGGGTAGAGGTAGATGTTTTATGGATAAGAGTAAGTAGGAGCACCTGTTGCCTCTGCTGTTGTGGTCTGCGATGTTCTGTTTCCTGTGTACTATGTTTATTGCGTATGTGAGGATGTTGGTATATACTTAGAATTAAGCTGATTAATTAAAAATGCATCCTCACATATTCATTAAACATGACTTAATTAGGGGGAAAAAGTAGTTTGTAGAACCCACCATCACCGTTAACCTTGTAATATACAAAGATATCCCATCGTGCCGCAAGCATAGAAAAATGTGCCAGAAGGTACATGGGGTGGAAACCCCAGAGATGGACACCGGTATCCCGTGTTCACTAAACTCTAGTCCCGATTACTAAGTAATTCATGTTAAGTACAGGTGTGCACTTCTGTCCTGTCAATGTCACCGATGCCCATAATAAAAATAAGACGTGAAAGTTCAGTTTTAAGTTGGAAAAGTGCCAATAAGTTTGTGCCATAAACCGTGAGTCTTCCTGAAGCCAATGGTCCATCTATGCCAGGGTGTGGGCGTGTGTGTATGGTCGTGTACATGGGCGTACCCAACTCCAGCCGATCACCACAGTCAACGTTGTGTCTGTAGTCGCAGTTTTCACGCAGGAACTCTTTGTCGGAGGCGTCGAAGGCGAGCCCATTGCCGCAAGTCTTGAGCGTAGCGACGCCTGCGTCGCAAGAGTAGTACTTGTCGCAGGAGACGGCGTGGGGGTAGAAACCGAACTCGTCCGGACACTGCCAGTTGCCACTGCCGCCAGGGTCAACGGAGGACTCCTGGGCTCCTGTAGGTGCGGAGCGGGCCGAGGATGGGAGGAGGAATACAGGTTAATAAAGAAACATGCATACCACACTCTAAGAGGTTGACAAGGCAGGGTAGAAGCGCATCGATCACTTCAACAAAGTTCAGGCTGGATACAATTTACATTTAAAAGCTTATTTAGGAGCATGCGCTGACAAATCTGAAAGGAAAACATTAAATAATGCCATGCAGAATTGACGTCGATAGCTGAAAGCTGCAAGGATTGCCATGAATGTTGGCACGATGGTGAAACCAAACTATAATTGGAACTTTGAGCTGCAGCACACTAAGAAATGTCAATTACATACTGGAACATAGCACGATCTACATGCCACTTACGTTAATATTAAGGAAGAAGCACAAAGCAAAAAAGAAGTTATTATTGATGAAATTTATGTGGTATCAGCAGAGAACAGTACTAATGTTAAAATATTTATTGATGGAAGTACAATTAATATAGCAGCGAAGAAAATAGAGTAAACATTAGCTGTTTGAATAGAGAACAATTCTCATTGATTTGTTTGGTTATTAGGAGTCGTAAGCATAGGTCGTTTGTTAGATCATAGTACATTAGTTGGTTAGTGTTTGATAATACTTGCGTAGAACTCTGCTTTTAAAACTTTTGTTGTAAATGTTTAGGCTACTTTTTATATCAAAACTATTTACAGCTTGTGTTAAGGTTAATTTAGGGCAAGATGTTTACATCCTCACACTAAAATGATTTACGAATCGAAAATAATAAAAAAAACTAAAAATGGCATGAATTTTCCCTGTGGGGCCATTTAGGGCGTGCCGGCCGGCAGGTAATAGCCTCGTGTGACTCCCTCGAGCTTATGGACGGAGGTTAATGTCTAATATGGGACGCGACCCTGAAATATGTGTGTGTTCATTTTGCTGCGCCCTCAAGATTTCTAATACCATTATAAGGTGTCGAATACCAACACCACAATCGCGAGGATAAACAAAAGGCGATCGTCATAGTGGACTCTCTCCTCCAGAGGCATATTTGAACCCGTTATAGTTTCGTTATGATTTCCTGCTTGCAGGAGGAGTTACGTAACAAGTGAAGCATATTGATATTTCAATGTGAAAATTTCTAAATAATTAATTGTAAATTTAGGACAGGTTAAACAGATATTATAATCGTTCAACAGCTTTCTCTAGTTATATTAAGTATAAAGTGGTAAGGGGATTGGACACACTGGAAGATATAACAGTAGGTGACATGTAATATGGCTGAAACAATGTGCAGATAGATTAGTATATCGTTAAACATAGTTGGAATCTAATATAATATGGCTTAGAAGTTATAATACTATACGTACTAGGTAAATACTTAAAAATTATTGAAAAACTTTAAAGAGGGAGCACTGATAAGTCAAGACTAAAGGATGTGGTGGAATCACAGCATAAGATAAAGAAGCAGCTTTATCTTTATCACTTGTGTTCTCCGTGGAGTGAAAGCAGCTGTGAGCACATAATCACCTACTGAAACTTTTAAAATAATGAACAATTTGGAGGATGTTATCTAGACAATTTCTACAAAAAAAAAGGTCAGATGTAACACGAACCAGGATCAACAGTTGCAAGCTCAACAAGCCACAATGTAGGACAGAGAATAATATATGCTTTTTGCAGCCATTGTGCTATAAATCCATGGAACCGATATATATATATATATATATATATATATATATATATATATATATATATATATATATATATATATATATATATATAATATATATATATATATATTAACATTTTGCCCAAAGAAAAAGCACCAAAACCACACATAAACATTCCTGACAGGAAGTGCCAGTGAACACGGTCAACGCCCCCTTAGTGCCATCAGTTCGCCCTGTTGCCTTGGCCCTTAGAGCAGAGAGGAAAAGTTGTCTTAAATTCCAAGCATTTTTGTTTTTGCGAGAGCGATGGAGGCCAACAAATGGCAGCAGCTTACAAGGTGTGACTTCCTCGCCAGGCCGGTCTTGGGAGCGGGCGGCCCCCACCTTGAATTCAAGTTTTTGCGGAGACACCAGGCGAGGTGGAAGCCAATCCCACGGGATCCGGTGCACTTTCTTCGTTAATCATCTGATAAACGGTTGCGAAGTATGTCGTTGTAACGGCGCTAATTTCTAAGGTGAGCGCGGTGTTATTTTTCTTAAAGTTCTGTACGCACGCTTCACTAGCTAAGGATCCTATATGTTGATTGATAGGAAATTTTATATTCTCAACCTATGGTAAAATTGACAAAAGCTAGTGTTGGAAAATAAATGATGGATATACCCTCTCCTCTTACATAGAAAACACATGGTATAATCTGCAATGATTTTCCTCAAAGAGTATCGCAGTGAGAGGACAGGAAGCTGTTGGGCTTAATGCCAGTCAACTTGTGGAGGGTTATTAAGCCCACCACAACTGTTTAATGACTATCCGTAAGTATAATTTCGTTCTGAATGTGGTCCAGAGAGCTAAAGTAAACAATATGTGTGTATGTATGTATATATATATATATATATATATATATATATATATATATATATATATATATATATATATATATATATATATATATATATATATATATATATATATATATATATATATATATATATATATACACACACACCAAGAAGAGAGCTGCAGCGCGCTCTATATTCCTTTGAGGAAGCGCTCTTAACACTCTATATATGATTTATATCTGACCCTTAACGTGTACTGTACTAGATCTTAATATATGCCTCTCGGATTATAGTTTAGGACGTGGACCGTACCAGGGAAAGCGTTACACTTTCTCGTGAGTCACTAAAGCTACATATGTGTGGCCACGTAAAGGTTATTGGACTTACGGGCTATTCATGCCCGTGCCATCTCTTGGGGTGGCTTAACCTTCATCTATCAATCGATTATTGGACGCTAGACTAATTGGTTGCAAGAGAATGTAACTCATTTTGTTTCGAATAGTGTAGTTTATTTTTGGTTTGCCTGGTGTGTAATTAGATTAGTTTACCCATGTACCTGTACCCATATAACACTGTATCCTGGCATTTAGGTCCTTTAACTAATGCGTTCACTGTACCTGTCTTTGGTAAGAGTTTGTTAGACGAGTCTGTAATTACTCTGGAGACGGTGTTGTGTTTTTCCCAGATAGTGTCCATTCTCCATCCTGCCCCTAGCATATTTAAATATAAAATGTTGGTCATTTTTTTTTATAAATAACATTTTAAAGGGGGGTACCACCTCTGGATGAGTGTAGGGACCCATAAGCCTCGAAGAAGACGATATGCAGCACCCGGGAGAGCCTTGTTGAACTCTCGCGTGCCCTGGTACATATTGTCGACAACACATATATATCCGGACCAATATCACGGTGAAAAGAACCCGAAACGAAAGCCCCAGGCAGCAGCTCCATCTCTCAGTGATGTTACACGTATTTAAACAAAGAAAAAAACCTCCCCCCCCCCCATTCCCTTATGGGTAATGGCTCAATTTCCTAATTATCCCAGAGCTGTCGTTATGTCTGGAGCCCGACAGGCGAAAGCTGCCAGGAAACTATGAAGCCTGACTTTCTCTTCCGTAAACGGAAAGGAAAAAATTATTTCACGAATCAAATTCGCGTGAATTAACTCGACTGTGACGAAGAGCGTTCGTGCGTAGTTCATAAATATGTGTTTTAGATGTATTTTAGATAGAAAGAAATACATAACACCTATTTCAGTTGACATCAGAAAAGAAAACGGTGTTTTTTCTCACTGAAACTTAGCCCTAACTGCACATAGCCTAGCATAGCCTAGCATAGCCTAATCTGACTTAAATTGATTTTGCACAACTTGATATAACAAGATTATATTGGTAGGTTTATGAAAACGGCGGGTTTTGTGACTAATGAATCACCGGGGTATAGGATGTTTTCCAAGAGATGTAAGGAACATCCGAGCCTGGAATTAGGGAGGCCAATATATATATATGTAACATTTGACCTCTTCAAATGTTTTCTCGTCATCAGTGACAGCACTGATTCTAATTTTTTGGTCATATCCTGGTAGTCTGTAGGACGGCTACTGGGGACCTCGATATATCTGATACCATCAATAATGGGAAACCAAATCATGTCTCTACACGGATGATAGCCTCATTGGGCTTGGAGCGTGAGCTCTCTTGTCCTCTAGACTGCGTGTGAGCCCCTTGGGGGCCACCCAGACTGAGTGTGAGCCCCTCGAGGGCCTCCAGACTGAGTATGAGCCCTCTATTTGTACTCGCGATAGAAAGTCTGTGAGGGAAACATTTGCAGAGTGACTGGACCAGCATTGAGTGTCTTTTGAGTGTATCTCTTTCTCCTCCTCCTCATGCCTTCTGTCACTTTACAAGTCTTCTTCGAATTTTATCTACAAATAAGCGACCGAATATTCTCAATCAGTAGATACGAGACGGAGAATGAGCTGGCCAAGCTCCCTGGACCTGCATCAGGGGCGTCGGCCCGTCATCCTCAGTAAATGTTGTAGCATGAGGGATATGGGCAACATACGTCAAGAGCAGCGGCACCACCACCACCACCAGAGCAGCGGCACCACCACCACCACCAGAGCAGCGGCACCACCACCACCACCAGAGCAGCGGCACCACCACCACCACCACCACCACCACCACCACCACCACCACCAGAGCAGCAGCACCACCACCACCACCAGAGCAGCAGCTGCACCACCACCACCACCAGAGCAGCAGCTGCACCACCACCACCACCAGAGCAGCGGCACCACCACCACCACCACCACCAGAGCAGCAAGAGCACCACACCAGAGCAGCGGTAGGACCACCACCAGTTGGGCGTGGCGGAGGCCCACTAGGGGGGGTGTAACAACACCTCAGCCACCAGAGTTTTCTCCTCTACCCTTGACCAGCCTGGGAGGGAGAGAGTGTGTGTCGGCCCCTCACTCACAGCCTCCTCTCTCACCCCCTTCTCGGACCCTTACATCAAGA